GGGCTGGGGACACAGTTTTGTCATAAAATGCCTCTGGGTTCCATCCCCATACCAATCAAAAGAGAGGAAAAGATAAATTAATTAATTCTGTAATGCTACAATGTGGATAAAATTAGAGGGCATTATGCCAAATGAAGTGAGCCAAAATACTGCATGCCTCCACATACACAGGACCTTGAGTAGTCAGACCCATAGGGATGGGAAGAGGGCTGCTGACTGCCCGGGTTTGGGGAAGCGCACGTGGGGAGCGGGTGTCTAACGGGTACCAAGTTTCAGTTTTGCGAGATGGGAAAGCTCTGGAGACTGCATAACAATGTGAACACGCAACACAGGTCAGCTGTTCACTTAAAAATGGTCAGGATGGCAGATTTTATGTAATGTGTATTGTACAATTAAAAGTTTTTTCCACTTTAACCAATTAGATAAGTAGTTCAATAACTGAGGAATTAGGACCAACCAGTAAGTATGTATTATCATTTCTCCCCCTCTACAACATCACTCTTCTCTGATTCCTTCCATAGGAACTCCAAGGGGTCCCAGAATTTTGGAATTCTGAACACACAAATGCTCACCACCTCTTTTGAACCAATATGGCCTCCAAAGTATCAAGGGATTACCATTGTTCTAGGCTTCCAGCCAAATCTCCATCACACATCTCACTAACTAGACATCCACTTTGTTTCACAGACTCTTCTCAAACAAGACTCTCCGGAACAACCTGCATATTGGTTATTTACAGAAGGGGTTGATGCCTTTTAATCACTGGTATTTCTCTGTAGCTAAGAATAACACAAGGAAGATATTTTGAATGGGACAAGGGTGAACACTGGGGACGAGAATGATTTTAGAACATGTTGTCTTTCAGAGCAAGAGAGATCTAGGAGGAGCACCTCAAAGAGGTGGGGGGGGATGGCATTGAATGGTATGGGGATGCAGGGCTGGAAGAAAATCAACATGGGGACAGGGGATGGAGACACAGAATGGAAAGGATATTAGGAAGCACTTTGCAGACTTAGCAACTGTCATCCATTTTGTGCTGCTATCACCGAATCCCTGAGACTAGGTAACATGCAGTATAATGAACAGAAATTTATTTGGCTCATGGCTCTGGAACCTGGGAAGTTTAAGATCAAGGGGCCATGTGTTTTGCTACAAGACTTAGTGGAAGGCATCCCACGGTGCGAGAAAACTCATGGCCTTGAGCCATCTCCGATCATGCGTGAGGGTGCAGCTCTTACTAAGACTCCATTCCCTATACCACCGCATTGGGCATGGTTTCCAAACTATGTTGCAGGGGACACATTCAAACCATAGCTCACCGGCACCTGCCCCAGAGAAGAGCACCACCTCCCGGTCACCCTACCCTGCACAGCTTGTTTGCTGCGAGAAGTACCCGGAAGTCCTCTTGGGGAGCATCATTCCATATCCCACTGGGCTGCTGACTCAGCCAAAACTATGCCTAGTGTGGAAGGGGGGGAACTCCTCTGAGGCATACAAGCCTGAGGACCCCTGGGCACTGGCAAGGAAAAGCAGACCACCTTCTATGGTCTGGATGTCGAATGTCCCCAGAGGTTCATACGTAAAGGCTTGGTGCTCAGGGTGACGGCACTGGGATGTTCTATGGACCTTTAAGGTGGGGGGGGGCTCAGGGGAGGTGCCTGGGTCATTATGGATGTGCGCCCCAAAGGGATTGTGGGATCCTGGTCTCTCTGTTCTCTCCGCTTCCTAGTTCAAGATGCAATTGGTGCCCCTCTCTCTCTCCCTCTCTCTCTCTCTCCCTGCCTCTCATACTTTCTCACTGTGACGTGCTACCAATACCAGAGGTCCAAACCCATAGAGCTGCCTGATCTTCAGCCTGAATTGACAGAACCGTGAGCTGACGCAAACCTCTCTTTACTTCATAAGCATCCCATCTCAGGTATTTTCCTACAGTGATAGCAGCCTGACTGATACACCAATAGAGCTGCCCATCTGCTCTCTACTCCAAGGGGCTCAGAGTCCTTCACAGGTAGTAATCAATATAACCTCGCTGTAGCCCAAGGTGGACTCCTGCAAGGACACATGGAAAGAAAGGGTTACGAGAGAGGTTTCCTCATTCACAGCTGCTAAAATGGCTCTTTTCCTTCACCAAAACCTGGCAACCCAGATTAAACTTTTCTGGTGCATGTGGATTCCTCTGAATGCATCCACTCAACCTCTCTCATCTCACATGAGCCACATGGTTAAGGAATCTGCTTCTCCCTCCCCAAATCCTTGCTAGAGGAACAGCAGGACCTCAGTGTGACAGCTGAGCAAAGCCACTCTGACCATACCCTAGCAGCAGCTGCAAAGTGAGGCTCAGGGGAGGAGAGAAGGCACGAGCCAGGACCCCAGAGAGCAGCCTAGTCCACCTCTTTGTGCCAGGGCTTCTGAGGGACCTGCATCTGAAGGATGCTGGTGGCCATCTTGCTCATTAGCTGAAAACTATGCATTGACCACTCAATTCAGTCAAAACGGTGGACCCAGAGTTGGGGATTTATTTAGCTCAGTGGTTCTGCCACCTGCCTCAAAAGTGCAAGGTCCCAAGTTTGATCCCTGGTTCAAAAAAAAAAAAATGGTGGACCCAACTGTGCTTTTGGAAATCACCATTGTTATATACAATTCACACAAGCACGCCTTTCCCCTCTTATATAGACAAGAAAAACTCAGACATTCTATGCACCAATCGAGGTAAATGATCCTAATCATGAATGGCCAGGTCCCATATGTGCACCCCTCATGCAATTATGCTGGATTGAACATCCAGAGTCAGGAAGGGCTGCAGAAAGGCCAAAGCACCCTCTGTTACTAATAACCAGACAAGCGCAGCCAACATAGGTTTGCTAAAGCTAAAACTACTTTGGTTTCTGGTTGGGCATTTTTCTCTTCCAATCTCTCATTCCATGTGCCCTAGAGTTACAATTTAGAGTTTCTTTTTTTTTCTTTAGATTTTTTAATTAATTAAGCTTATTGGTACATTTTAGATATACATAATGGTCACATTCATCATAGGAAATCTGTACCAGTACATGATGTACCTTGATTATTTTTTCTATTCAATTTAGAGTATTCAAACAAGCAGCTATGATGATCAAACAGCTAAGCTTCAAAATGGACAAGAAAATAGACGTTTTGCAGCTTAGTGAAATGACACCTCTCCAATTCCAGTTTTAATTCACCTCCATCATTATAGGGCAACCTCTCTCAACTCCTGTCCCCGATCTGCCGTTCTCGATATGCTCTCTTCCTATGCTCCAGGTGTTTTCTGCTCCCCGCAGGACATTACCTACACCTCCTGCCTTACATGAGGCTGTTCACAGGGCCATGCTGCTCTCCAATCTTGGCCCTCACTCTACTTCACGCCCAGCTTCATCATGAGGTACATGCTGAAGTAGAAACCTACTTCAACTATCTGACTGCTTGGAACAAAGCAAGTTTTTTGGGTTAAGATTCTTCCAGTTACCTCATAACTAAATAAAAATATGAATAAGTATATATGAATATAAAATACAATAAATCAGGATGGAACAGGGGATTCAAATGAAGTGATTAGTTGCATCACCTTTTGCAAATGGCAGCAAATGGCTATTTTTCCTATAATTGGTCCCATGAAAGTGAAAATCTACAAAACTGTGCCATATTGGTGAACAGTAACATTGTGCCCCAGCCATTACAACACATAATTGATCTCTGATGCATTCACGGTGTGTATACACCCTGGATGGTAATAAAAACTGGTGGGATTCCACAGTGAATATGTGCAGACCACCCCAAACTCCCCTAGAAACCCTTTAATGTGAGGCCTCTTGAACTTTTCATGACTAACCTTCCCCCTGCCCTGGAAGGCAAGGCACACAACAGGTATGCAATGCATCACCATTCATTGATTGATTTTTCATCTTCACCATGGGTGTGGGAGAGAAACAGCCGACAAGGGTTAAAACATTATGCACTGCAAATGATCAGTTGAGAAATGAAGGCAGTGAAAAAACACGGCACAAGTACAAAGGTCACCCTGGTATGGAAAAAATTACGTGTGAGAAGGCTGACTGCTGCACTTAAATGCACACTGTTCATATTTTCCAGACAACGTTAGACATTTTTTAAGGTCACGGTTAACCAAAGTAGCCTTCTTTGTCTCTTCATTAACACAATATAAGGGGTTTAGTCTTCCCATGTGGGGCGGTTTTTTTCCCTTTTTCTTTTCTTTTCTTCCCCCTACCCCTTCGAATAATATCCACTTTGCCCCCACCCCCAAAGTGTCTCCCCACAGGACGGGAGGAGCGCTCCGGGAAGCCCTTGCAGAGCTGCTTAGCGCAACTTTATTCTCCACATGGTCTATTTAGGCGACTTGGTTCCCTCGGGTGACTCCATGGCCTCCCTCGCTCTTCCACGCCTGGAACACTAGTGGCGGCGGCTGGTGCGATTCTCCAAGGCGGCCGGGAGGCGCTGGCCTTGGTCCTGACCTCCGAGCTCAGGATGCGAGCGCGGACAGCACCCGCGGAGGCGGGACGGCGAGCGGCCGCGGGAGCCCCAGCCCCTCCCGACCCCCGGGGAGCCCGCGGGCCTTCCCGCAACCCCTCCGCTACGCGCCCCGGGCTGCATCAGAAAAGGGTGGGGCACCAGCCACAGCTGCAATCCGAAGCCGCCCCGGAGGAGGATTTAAGAAGAAAGGACGCGCGGTCCTCTCAAGCCCCAAGCGCGACGCTCCCAGCCGGGGATCAGCCTGTCCTTTCCACCCACCCCCAGCTCTCAGGCCGGGGAGTCGCGGGCAGCCTTTGTGGGCGCACGGCCGCCCACCGTGAGGCTCGCCGCACCCTGCGCGAGAGGGGCGGGCGGGGAGGGCGCGTGCAGATGCGGAGCCGCGTCCCGGGCGGGGCCTGCGGGCGGACACGCGGGTGCTCGACTCTCCGCGAGGGGCAAGGCGTGAAGGGGGCGACCCCGCGCCCCGGCCCCGGCGTCCACCCTTGCCCCATACCGACCTGGTCGTGGATGTTCTGCAGGGCTTCCTTGCCCGAGGCCCGCCGGATCTCCACCTTCCGGCTGGATTCAACAGATGGCTCCCCGCCGGCCCGCCGGCCCTGCCGGGAGAAGGGCGGCTGCGGGTCGGGGCCCAGGTGGGCGACGTCCCGCTGCTGAGCCACCACCTGCCCCGAGCCCCGGCCCACTGACAGCGAGTCGAAATCGATGGTCTTGTTCTCCGAGGACCCTTCCACTGGGCAGAACATGCCACAGAATTTCTGCCGGGGCTTGGGGCTGCCCGAGCCCAGGTTTTTGAAAAAGGCAGGGACCTCTTCGTCCTCTGCTGCCTTCCCGGATGGCTTCCTCTCGGCCATGGCGCGGAAGCTCGGGGACGGTCCTTGGCGTGCGTCCGTCCTTCGGTCCTCCCGCGGGCCCCCGAGTCTCCCTGTCCCCGAGCACAAACCCCTCGCTGCCGCCGCGCCGCCCCTCAAGGTGCACAGGAAGGAAGCGGGGCTGGCGATCGGCGGCCCACCCTGGCGGTCCCTCCCCCTGACCCCGCTCTCTCCCCTCCCGCCCACGCCCCCCGCGGCCGACGCGCGAGCTGGGCGAGCGGCAAAGTTGGGTCTGCTAGCGCGGTCGCTGCGGCAGCGGGAGCCGGGAGGGGCGCGGCGGGGCGGGGCGGGGCCGGCGGGGCGGGGCGGGGCGAAGCGCCGGGGGAGGGGAGCCGCGCTCCGGAAGTGAAGCGGAGACCACCGGCTGGTGGATGCGCGGCGCTGGGCGGGCTGTCCCCCGGCGGCGCCCGGGTGAGCACGCGCGGGGAGCGGGGTGCGGACCTCTTCGCCTGCGCGGTGGGCCGGGGACGGGGGCGCACGAGGTGCGAGCTGCTGGCTGGGCAAAGGGTCGGGCTTCGGGACACCCGGCCCGGGGATGGTTGCGGGCGGCGCGGACCAGCAGGCTCATCCGCGGGGCACCCAAGCTGCATTCCAGCCGCGCACCTGCCGGGCCCGGGGAGCAGGGTGGACCCCGAGGGTCCTCGGCGGGTGCAGCCCTGGTTGGGGGGCGGGGAGAGAGGCCGAGGGGCGTGGGGCTCGGAGGGGTCACAGAGGGACGTAGGCCTCGGGTGTGCCCGACCGCCTAGGAGAGAAAGGGCGAACATCTTCTGTATTATTCCCCAGGTCTCCGTGCGACAAGCTGCACCGCTGCCCCAGGAAGGGTCCGCGAGTGTCATGATTTGGCGTGTTCCCCGCCACCACCAACAGAAAAAGGTGAGGGTGTAAGCAGCTCGAAGCCCACTCCCTGAACCTTCAGGCTCCGCAAGACGCCTGGCACCCCGCCCCGCTGCGCACTGCGCCAGAGCCCCGGGGATTCGGGGGTGGCCGGATGCCGCTGGCGGGGTTCTGAGGACTGTGTGTGGCGAGTTGCCTCGGGCCACGCCGGGTAGGGTGCGTGGGGACTTGGCGTCCAGGGCTTGGGGTCGCTGAGCCGGTCGGTAGCTCCTGAGGGGCATTTTGATCTGTGTAGGGAACACATTTCTGCCGCCCTCCATTGCTCTTGTCCAGCTCCACATCCAGTCCGCTAACAGCCCCAGCCTCGGGCCCATGGCGCCCCGCCTCTCTTCCCACTGGGGCCGAAAGCTGCAGAAACTATGCCTGTTTTTTGGCAGGAGGTCCGTGCGGGCTCAGTAACTCGTCTGGCTTTGGCCCTAGAGGGGCAAGGCATGGCCAGGAGCTCGCGGATGGCAGTGTGACCAAGAGTCCAGTCCCCTGGTCACCTAGCGCCCAGGGAGAAGTAAAGGCGAGGGCCCACCGCCCTCCCAGTTTTGAGAGAGAGCTTTGAGTGAGGGTTAAATGTGGAAGACTCCAGACCCAGGTGGAAGATGAGCTCCCCTGAGGAGGGCCGAATCCACCTCCGGCAGGGCTGAGAAGCCGGACAGGCGCCTGCGACCGCAGAGCGCGCGTCACCTTATTTCCTGACCCAGAGGCCAATGGAGACACATGCTTCCCGGCGCCTTTCCATGTAGGAAAGAGGTCAGGGCGCTGCCCAGGCTCAAGGTTCTAGCTAACCCAGGGGACAAGGGAGAGGCTCCTCCAGCCCCAAGCCTGGTGCTATGGGCCCCTTCGTGTGAGAAAATACAAAGTTCTTACCTACAGTTGTCCATACCCACATACCTCTGTCTGCGGTCCTGCTGTGCATCAAGGCTCTCTTCCCCTGTCCTACTGGAGGCCCCACGGAGGTGGGCTCACCTCTGGGTGACAGAACTCTCCGAAGGTGGCTGTGGGAGGTGTTTCTTCCTCCAGCTTCAATGCCTTTTTATCTCAGTTTCTTCTACTCTAATGGGGCCGAGACCACCCGGAGGGCCCCCTGGAAAAGTCAGCCGCAGCCCCACATCCTCTGGACCTCCCAGGAGGGCTTGGGAGCTGCTGTGTGACTCTGGACTCCATTGGACAGATGCAGATTTTCAGGCCGAGGGGGAAACAGTTGTAGCCCACACCACACTCACTAGGAGGTACAGTCAGTCATGCACGAATAACAACGTTTCCGGTCGCCAAGAGGAGGCACAGCTAGACCACTTCTCTAAGATCCCCTCCTCCCTGATGGCGCCCTGGTCCTGCGCATGCACAGTACGTGATGATTCACAGTGCCCGGATTGCCGGCTGAGAGGCCCGGAAGGCCTCCCCATGGCCTGCTGACCATCACTGTGCAGGGACTCTTCTTCTCGCTCCATGATACCCGTGCTCCTGCCTTTTGCGGCTTTTGTTTTGTTTTTTGTTTTGTTTTTCTCAAATCCATTGAAGTTCAGTGGCTAAGAAGGTGCTGTATTAGCAACTTTACATCCATGGCCAAGGAAATGACCTGCTGAGCACTTGTAAAGACGCAACATGGGGGATTCACTCATGATTCCAAACTTGACTTATTTGGCCCTGTGATGTCTTTTTAAAAGAAAAGTTGTATGTATTTGTGGTTCGAGGGCCTTTGAGCTAAGCTATATCCCCACTCCTTTTTATATTTTTATATTGAGACAAGGCCTCATTGAGTCACTACATTGACCAGGCTTGGCTCAAACTTGCAGTCCTCCTGCCCCAGTCTCATAGAGTACTGCGATTACCTGTGAGCACCACCACATCCAGCCCTATTTTTCTAATTGTTACACCTATATTAAGTTATTTCTAAATGTCTTAATGACTCACCATTGATTTGTGTGTGCGTGTGTAAAGAGTATATCCAGAGGCACTTTGTCACTGAGCTACACTTTCAGCCCTTTTTTATTTTTTATTTTGAGACAGAGTCTCACTAAATTTTCCGGGCTGGCCCTGAAGTTTGTATCCTGCCTCAACCTGCAGAGCAGCAGGATTACCAGCATGTATCACAATTGATTTTTTATTTCTTTTCTCTTCCTTTTTTTTTTTTTGAGGCAGGGTCTCACTGTGTAGTTCAGGCTGCTCTCAAACTCATGGCAGTCCTCCTGCTTCAGCCTTCCAATGCTGGGATAATGGGTGTGCATCAGCACATCTGGCCACCACAGTTTATTTTTAAATCAAAGAAATGAAACAACTCAATCTTTCTTAGTAGAAATAATTAAACTGTGAAGGATTGTTAGGTTTTTCATCCTTCTTTACTGGGTTGTCATATTTTGTAGTACACACATTAATCTTCATCCCTGAATGTTAGGAATGAAATTATGTTATCCTTGCTTGTGTGACAGGGCAGCTTGGCTTGACTGAGGCTCAGACTCATACACACTTAGTGGAAGGTGAGTGATGTCTTCCTGTGCTAGACGCTCATATCTAAGCTCCTTGACTCCCTCAGAACATTCTGGAACACATAAACAGGCATCTGGCTACATCTGATTTCATGAACAAATGACAGGGAGACAAGATTGCAAGGGGTCTCCAGGGGAAAGAAGTCATGGTCAGCAGAGAAGGGGCCTGAGAGAGGGGGTGCCAGAGCCCATGGTGCACCCTGAGGTCCATCCCAAACTAGAGCAGGGGCCCGGGAGGGCTGTGGTGAAACTGACCATTGTTTCTCCAGGAGCCCAGCTGCCCTGCTGAAAGACTTCTCTCCAGGATCAGAATGGAGGGCATCTCGCAGACCAGGAGATGTGGGGTGGCTGGCCGTTGGAGAAGGGTCCCCACCACGTGGCTGCCGTGGACTGTGGACCCACGGGCAGTGGCACTGTGACAACTGAGCCAAGTCCCACCACCCACCGAGGGGCCTGAGGAGTCGAGAAGTGCTGAGCGGCTGGCACTGGGCAAGGACAGGTTATTGGGCCAGAAGACTCTGAGAAGACTGCCATGCAGGGACCTGTGCTCGGGGGTTAGGGTGTAGAAGCTCCCCCAAGACGTGGTCCCTGCTAGCCGTGTGTCTCCGTGCCCCAGCGTGACAGCCTCACTCTGTCTGGGACCATGGCAGTGGCATTGCTGGAGGACTGGTGCAGGGTCATGGGTGTGGATGCTCAGAAGTCGCTGATGGTGACAGGCATCCCGGTGGACTGTGGGGAGGGCGAGACCCAGGCCATCCTGCAGGAGGCCTTGAAGTGCGTGGGCCGGTACAGACTGCTTGGGAAGATCGTCCGGAAGCAGGAGAACGCCAGCACCGTCTTGCTAGAGCTCCTGGAAGACCCTGATGTCTCGGGCATCCCCAGCGAGGTGCAGGGAAAGGGGGGTGTCTGGAAAGTGATCTTCAAGACCCCTAACCAGGATGCCAAATTTCTCGAAAGACTGAACCTCTTTCTAGAAAAAGAGGGCCAGACAGTCTCGGGGATGTTCCGAGCCCTTGGGCATGAGGGAGTGTCTCCAGCTGCTGTCCCCTGCATCTCGCCAGAGCTCTTAGCCCATTTGTTGGGACAGGCAATGTCACATGCCCCTCAGCCCCTGCTGCCCATGAGGTACCGGAAGCTGAGAGTCTTCTCGGGGAGCGCCACACCCACCCCAGAGGATGAGCCCTTTGAGCTCTGGTTGGAACAGGCCACTGAGATAGTCAAAGAATGGCCTGTCACGGAGGCCGAAAAGAAGAGGTGGCTGATGGAGAGCCTGCGGGGCCCCGCCCTGGACCTCATGCACATAGTCCAGGCCGACAACCCGGCCATCGGCGTGGAGGAGTGTCTGGAGGCCTTCAGACAGGTGTTCGGGAGCATGGAGAGCCGCAGGTCCTCCCAGGTGAGGTACCTGAAGACCTGCCAGGAGGAAGGGGAGAAGGTCTCGGCCTATGTGCTTCGGGTGGAAACCCTGCTCCGGAGAGCCGTGGAGAAGCGGGCGATCCCCAGGAACATCTCAGACCAGGTCCGCCTGGAGCAGGTCATGGCTGGGGCCAGCCTCAGCGATGTCCTCTGGTGTCGCCTCAGGAAGCTGAAGGACCAGGAGCGACCGCCCAGCTTCCTGGAGCTGATGAAGGTGATACGGGAAGAAGAGGAGGAAGAGGTCTCCTTTGAAAATGAGAATATCAGGGAGCCGCAGAAAGGTGGTGCCTGTGGGCGCTGGGATAATGGGAGAGAGGACTGAGGCGGGCTGGGAGTGGCCTCCTCCAGCCAGCGGGCTGAGGACCTTCACTGGATTAGGCTAAGACCTTTACGGTCTTTTTTGTTTCCTTTAATGTACAAGATTGAAATGAAGGCATTTGAGCCAAATCTTGCTTTTTTTTCTTTTCCTAAGGAAAAAAAAATACCTGGAGTTTCTTAAACCCTAAGTAGGTTGTTAATAAATAAAAGATTAAATTCTAAATGTTAGATAGAAGGGGCTGGGTATTTAGCTCAGTGGTTCCGCTGCCTGCCTCGCAAGCATAAGGACCAGAGTTCGATCCCCGATACCAAAAAAAAAAAATGTTAGGAAGCCTAAAGAAATCTGAAACACCTGTATTTCTGGTCCCTTTTAAATAAATAGACCAAAATGTACTCATACAACAGAAGGGAAAATAGAAAAAAATAGCTTTTCTGATGAGTTTGAAAAATGAAGTGGCTTGGCCTGCCACGTGGGTTTACGGGTCTCAAATCAGCAAATTCCTGCTGAGCCCTGAGCACATGGGACATGATACAAAAAGTTAGAGAGCTCCGACCACCGTGGACAGCTAAATTGTGAACCTGCAGGGTAGGCAGGCTTGTAGGGAGCTTCTGGCCAAGGTGAGAAGCTGGCCTGGGCACCGTAAGTGTAGGGAGGGCGTGGACAGGTAGGTGAGTAAGACACCACCTCCTCCAGGTTTCCTCCTCCTCTCACCTGGGAAGTGTTCCTCCACCTTTCTGCTAGGTGTCGTGTAGATCAGGGCTCCCCAAGTCCCAGGAACCTGCGGGGAGCTTGGCTACACAGCAGGAGGCAAAGGGCCAGCAAGGGAGTGAAGCTTTGTCTGTATAACAGCTCCCCACCACTGGGGTCACCCCCTGAGCTCTGCCTCCTGCCAGGTGAGCAGCAGCAGTGGATTCGCATGGGAGCTCAAGCCCTACTGTGAAGCACATGTGGGGGATCTGGCTTGTATGTTCCTTCAGATCATCCCCTAACCATGCACACCACCCCTGCCCCAGTCTGTGGGGCTCTGATGGCACCTGGTGGCTCTGAAGATAACAGGTGAGGTGGCCCCATCCCCACTGTCAGAAGGCCTGAGGCCCAGAGATGGCCTCCAAGAAAGGGTGTACATCGGAGAACAGCAGCACACGCAGGGCACCTGTGCACGTAGCCATCAGACTGGTCTGGTTAGAGATGAAGGTTTTGAGTGGCAACAGTGCAAAGAGGAGAGAACCTCACAAGTACTGAGGGTCTGCATCGTGTAAAGAATTTCTCACAGTGTCATTGGATGTGTGCAGCATCTGTCCTCTTGCTTGCGTTCTTTTATTTTTGCTCATTATGAAGAGAAAGACACTGAAGCTCAGATGGGTTCAGTGGTCTCCTCAACACCAAAACATCATGTGGCACAGCCTAGACAAGCCCAGGACTCTGACTCAGGTTCATCCTCCACCGTCTTAGTAGCTTTCAGGTTGCGTTCTCAAAGTTTTGCAGAGATTTTTCAGCAGTCCCATCTTCAAAATGTGCTTTACACCCTTTCAATATCTAACGACAGATAGGCTCAAATATGTTGATGAACCAGTGTTAACACTCAGCCTTTACCGGCAGGCTTGCTTTTGTTTCCAGATTGACCCACTTTGTGTAGACCTCGAAAAAAGCTTTCCTGCTGGTCTCCGTGACCCTATCCAAACTTCCTTTAATTGCCCATAGATTTGAGAGCTATAGCATGTCAAGAGTTTAAATCGGGGCCCTGCATGCTAAGTAAGTGTGTAGGACAGCACAAATGAGCACCATCGAGTTACATGCTAGGCAAAGCTCTGATACAGCTGATGTACAGTCTTGTGGTAGATTTGTGATACTATAAACAAATTGCCTCGCTTCTGTAACCCTCAGTCTCCACATCTGAAAATGGGGTGGGGAGAGCACAGCGTGGTTGTTAGGATCAGATGGCATAATAACCCTCCAAGAACTTGGCTGAGGTCTGGAACTTAGAAGAGAGGCGACACTTGGAGGCTCTTGGGGTTTTCGTGACGTTTATTGTCAGTTTAATGCATGCTCTCCTTGTTGTTCCAGTTGTGAAGGAACAAGTGAAGATGTTATCTTCTGGCCCAGTTGTGATCCCTTTGCATTAGAAAGCATTGCAGCCTTTTGTATTTGTAATAAGTATTCCAGCAGCTGTCGACAGTTGTTAGTGACTTGACTCTGAAATAACATTCTCTCTGAGTGTAGGTTCGTTTAAGGAAGAATGCCGTGAGATTATAAGAAAAGCATTTTAAATAAGGTATCATTTGTGATCATTTGCCTTTCTAGAGAATATTTCTCAATAGCGTTTAACCAGAGTGATGTGGTTGTCATCCATTGTACCCTGATTTCATATGCTTTTGTGTTCATGAAAATTACCTCATTATTGTCATTCATTGACATTCTACAAAGTCAAATGTTACCATTGTGAAGTTATAAAATAAATCCATGCTAATAAAATCCTGAGTTCTTTTTTCTTATTTCTATGTTGTAGTCTGTATTGGCTGTTTGAAGAAGGAGTTTCACTACTCAAAAGTATTCTGGGAGACGCTTCTAGAAAATCAGGCAATGGGCCAGGGATTTAGCTCAGTGGTTCCGCTGCCTGCCTCGCAAGCACAAGGACCTGAGTTCGATCCCCGGTACCAAAAAAAAAGAAGAAAGAAAATCAGGCTAAAACCAAAAGGTCTTGAACTCCTCTAGGCAAGAAAACCTGAAAGGCTGAAATAATGCTTAGGCTGTGTCCCCAGGGACTGGAGAGAGCTTAGCCCACCCTCATCGATTGCCCTTTTAAATACACAGGGACAGATGGAAGCCACCTCCTCTGAGACCTCCAGCTCACTTCCTTAGGAAAATGACTGTCCAGACAAATTCCCCAGCCGCCACAGATGAAATGACTTACAGGTAGGATCTTCTCTTCCTGGGCTGAAGTCAGCTTTCCTTATGTTGATGTACAGGGGAAAATTTCCTCTTCCCTTTGAGCATCTTGAAATTACTTCCCCCCTTGTCTAAAATGCAAAGGGGAGCAGTCCTCACTGGGCCATACACGTGGCAGACCAGTCCATTAAAGACGAGGGTCTGGAGGTACCCAGCCTATCTTACCTCCTGGTCACAGGCACAACCCTCCTAGGAGGTGGGTCTCATCCTATACTTGGGTCTCTGGTCCTGACCCTTGAAGACAGCTCTCAAAGAATGACACAGCTCTGCCAAAATTGCTTTTCACTAGGGGTCTCTGGTGCAAATTACAGACCAGGCCTTCAGCCTCCTGCCTCTTCAGGCCTCAGGCATCACCAGATGTCTACACTGGCACCAGCCATCCTGCCCAGCTTCATGTCCTGCTCTCTGCCCGAGTGAAATGCAAAGCTGGCAGCAAGCCTCAGCTTTACTCCTGCTTCCTCGCCATGCTGCACCTCCACCATTTCTTCTGGACATTCCATAACATCCTAGACAAATCAGCTGAGGTCACTAGAGTTGACTGAGTATCCCACCACCGTTTCCTTAACTGCCTTCCTCCCAGCACTCTGCAGCCCTTGTGACCCCCACATAGGAAGCTGCCTGGCCCCCCACCACGGGAGAGATTGGAAGGCAGCATAATACTGTTTCTCCTGGCTCACCACCATCATGTTTCCGCCTCAGATACATTCGCTTCTTCCTGGTGGTATGCACCACTCTGCCCCACGCCCCCAGGCACAGTGCACTGAGTGGTCCTGATGAGCCTGAACAGTGACAGTGGCCCAGTGCAAGGACAGAGTAAGCCCACACAGAGAAGGGTCCTGAATGGGGATCTGAGATGAATATTGTCAAGTGGTTCTAGGTTTTATGTGCCACCAGCAGAATCTTTCAGTGGTCTAATTGCCTAGGATCAGGGCAGATGTCTCTCCCACCTACCGTCTGTCTGTGAGCCAGGAATCCTCGAGTTTATCCAAGGAAAATTTGTGCTCATTGAAATGCTGTCTTAAAGTGGGAGAGCACTCCCAGGATGGCCTTCTAAGAAGCCAGCCCCCCCCGACTGGATCAGGGCAGGGAGTCGTCCTAGTCCTGACCCCTGTGACCCCACTCCCTCCTGTGCCCAAGTGCTCCTTGTCATTCCAGATGGATTCTTGAGCTAAGAGACATATGTTGTCTATACTTCCATGGTTGGACTGACTACATAACCCTGAAATTGTAAATGTGAGGTTGTTGAGTGTCTGGATTTTGTTATTTTCTTTTAATGAGTGTTGAAGTTAGTTTGGGTGGGCAAATAAATTACTTGTGAAACAGCTTGAAACTTTGAGGCTTGTTTTTTGTTTTTTGTTTTGTTTTTGGTACCGGGGATCGAACTCGGGTCCTTCCACTTGCAAGGCAGGCAGCGGAACCACTGAGCTAAATCCCCACCCCGAGGCTTGTTTTTTAAGCTCTGTCAGAGAGCACCAAATAGGACTGATTTAGCCCTACCTCTGACCCTTCTGGAGTCTTTACACAATGATTCAAGTGCTTTTTCAAACAAGTTTCTCTGGCTCATTATAACTCAGATGTCACCGAGCCCTCTGTTTTCAGAGGAGGATACTCCTCTGTGATTTCTTTGCCTGGTGATGCCGTGGTTTATCTTACCAGGCACGACTGCTTGGAGACACTTGATTCTTTCCAAAGAATCCAGTAGCCGCTATGCTGATGTCAGGAGCTAGTTTTCCACACAGCTCCCTCCTGTCCTGTATTCTGCCTGGTGAGTGCAGCCACCTTGACCTCCCTGTTCCTCAGGGAAACCCCTGGCTCTGCTTGGCTGCCTCCTCCTGCTCAGTAGCTGGGAAAGTGTCCCCAGGCACCAAGCAAGGGCACTTACTCCTTTCTATCAGGATCACTGCACTGCCTGTTTTGCCCATATATTTTGTCTAATTTATTCATGTTTTCAACAGAAAGGAAAGTTTGGTCCTAGATAGTCCATTCCATCATGCACAAGGGTGGAAATCCACTTTCCTGGATGGAAGGGGTAAAAAGATAGCACCTTAAAGGCTGGTAGAAAGAACCTCGGAGAGGAAGAGTGGAATACAACAAGAAAAAGGAGAGGCAAGGCTCACAGGCTCCAGAGAGCAGTGTTCCGAGCACAGGTGGCCTTTGGCAGGAAGGCGGCCTCTTCCCCGAGTGAGGGGGAGAGGAAGACTGGGACCTCTTCTAGGAGACAGAGCTCTTGGGGTGGATGAGCACTCAGCAAAAGGCCAGAAGTGTCTTAAAAGCCATCTAGTCTGCAGCCTCGCTCTGTGCTCAAGGAATTTCAGCCACAGCATTTGTGACTTAACGGAGCTCACAGCTTCCCCACCTGGCAAAGGCTGCACTCCTGTTTCCGCCCCTTCGGTTTTCTTCCTAACCAGAAGCCCTATCAAGGATGCTCTTTAGATTCCTTTTCCTCCCTCCTGCTGGACTCGAGATCCTCCTTGCTCGTATCTGTGCACCAAGCAGAAAGAAGGAGACTTCAGTGAGGCTGGAAGATGAGAGCAACTTCATGATGGGCAAATAAAGAAGAGAAGGGAGCTGGAGGTGTGGCTCAGCAGGAGGGTGTGTGCTTAGCATGCCTCAGGCTCTGGGTTCCATCCCCAGCACCAAAAGTAAAGGCAGGGAACTTGGGGAGGGGTAGAAGGACATTGTGAGTCTGGTGTCACAGCATGAGCAGAATGGCAAACTGCACATTTCTCACAGGAAACTGGCACTGCTGAAGCAAAAGGTTAAGTCTGAGAGTGTGGAAATTGAGGGAACAGATTGTGGAGGGCTTTGAATGCAAAGGGAAGGAATTAATTTTTTCTTTTATTTATTCATTAATTCATTTCTAAAAATGTATTAGATGCTTACAATGAGCAGACTTTTCTTGAAACTGTAGACCCTGGGAACCACTGATACTTTTAATCAAAGGCCTGAAGAGGTGAAAGAGGTAAATACCTGTAAGTGTACTAGGTGACACCATGTCCTTTGAACATAATAAGTGCATTCACACTCGCATATCGTCCCTAAAGGGATATACTTAACTATGTTCTCCTGGTGGGCGTCTGTACACAGTTCCTTGTGTGTTGGTTTTTTGAGTGGCAGAGCAGAAAGCCCCCCCAACCAAGATTTAGGAGACCTTGTGTTCTGTCTTGTTTTTGCCTCTGTGTGACTCAGGGAAGTCACTTCCCCTTTTTATGCTTTTATCTCCCCCTCTACAAAAGAATGTTAAGAACAAGCCAGGCATGGTGGCACTTGCCTAGCATGTGCAAAGCCTTGAGTCCCATCCTAACCATGGGGGGAAAAAGGAGCAAAAGACAAGCAAATCCTCTTTTAGCTTTAAGTCCTGAAGCTTCCTAAATCTTGGCAAGAATATGATGCATTAATTTATTCAGAAACATTTACTCAGCACCCTCCTAATGTTGGGACACAAAGAGAACCAAGATAACATCTCAATCTCAGGGAATCCCATTGTGGGATGGCACATACATTAAAAATATGGCAAAGGTGGGTGGGTAGAGGAAGTAAAAACACATCTGCTGATGTCTCCTGGGCCTCACTAGGGGCATCACTCGGACCTGTCTTTGCCTCCTGTTAAGGTTTAGCTCAAGAATGTTCCTCCAAAGTCTCATTGTTTGTAAGATGGCTGGATCATGGAGATGGCCCTGGTTGGAGGCAGGGGTCATTGGAAGGGTGTGTTCTTGTCCCTGGCTCCTCCCCTCTCTCTTTGCCTCTTGGTCACCATAATATAAACAGCTTTCCTCTGCCATGGAACTAGCCCTGATGCCATGGAACTAGCAACCATGGACTGAACCCACTGGAAACTGTGAGCCAAATAAAACTCTCCTCCTTTAAGTTGTGAATGTTAGATATTTTGTCCTAGTGAAGAGAAAGTGACTAAGACACCTTTTGCTAAAAACAGTGGATGGATGGCTATTCAGAACAGACCCGAGGATGTGTCACACGGGCATCACAGGTCAGTAGGCAAGGGCTGTGGGCCTGTTCAGCACTGTGGGTGGTACCACCATCCTGGGACAGGACTGGGAGGCAAGGTGGCTGCAGGCTGCCTGTCCAAGCCTTGGTCTGACCAGCGGCCCCTCTGTGGCCAGGGAGAGGCTGTATTAGTTAGCCCGAGCCACCATGACAGCATGCTGCATGCTGAGGGCCTCCACAGCAGAGATCTCTTTCCCTGCAGATCTGGAGGCTGGAAATATCTAAGGTCAAGGAAAATGTCAGCAGAGTTCTTTACTCCAGAGGCCCCTTGTCCTGCCTTGCCCTGCTGTAGATAGAATTTTGTGTCCCTCCCCAGATTCCTGTGTTGAAACCCTCACCCCTGCTGGATTGGGACTGGGAAGTGGGGCCTTGAAAGGTGACCAGGTCACGAGGGAGGAGCCTTGGGACTGGCATTCACCCCCTTACCAAAGAGACCCCCATAGAGCTCTCTTGGCTCTCCCATCTGAGGATACTGCAAGAAGGTGCCATCTATGCACCTGAAAACCAGTCCTTAGCAAAT